TTCAGACTTAACTAAGGAGATGGTATGACTCAGAAACAATCAAAGAACTTAAAACTGAATAACTACTACATTTGTTTCATTTTTTTTATTCAAATTTATATAAACTTGTTTTTTTGGCTATAAAATCTTGTCAGTATTATATCTATAAAACTTCAAGCAATCTTGGTAAATAAGAATATCTTTCATTCTAACAACCCTTGTGACTTGTGCTTTACACAGTGTCAAACAAGTTAGTTCAGTTGAAGTGTAGCCATTATAATGCATTTACATGACATTCAAATGACATACACTTAATAGGGACCAAAAGCTAACTGTTTCCATTATCCTTTAGAACTAGGCTTAATAGAAACCTGTAAAAGACATAATGATATATAACAGAGGTACAATTCTTTCATCTGTCAAATAGAAAACTGATTTTGTCAATATATATGTAGAGTATCTTGGTAACTGTCAACATCTTTCAATTTGAACTGGACCCTGTTGTTTGAGGTGTTTCTAATGTCTAAAGAAGCATAGAGAGTAGTTAAAACTGATTTAATTTTGAAAAAAAACAACATGCACATATCTTTTAAACTCTAACACATGAAATAAACTATTTCAATTTTTAGTGAGAAGGTCTTTTAAGATCCCGTCATTGTTCGATTTATTGTAAGTGCAGCTCGACAACATAAATATGTTTATATTGAAAATGCTTAAAACACCCAGAAAAATCCATTAGAGTTAGACATTTATCTATATTTTGTATAGTTCTCGGACACAATGAAATACTAAATGGTTTTCAATCAATACTTCTAAATAATGCAAAAGGTATTTCCCTGTAATTTCTGATGAATACAAGATTATACAGGATTATAAATCTAATCACATAATCTCCGATAAGAGAGAACTATTATAAACGTTTACTAATCCTTTATAGGTTTATATAACGTATTCAATTCTACAGAGAATGTAAGAATAGAACCGAATGACTAATATATTAATAAACTACTTTTCCTCAATGAACCACAAATCTGTTCCCATACTAAAGTTAATGTCTTTATTTGCAGGGAACCAGTATCCAGGCAGTACAGTTGATAGATTTTCTAAAGGACCTAAAACATTGACAACTTATTTTGCTGCTTTGAACACCCAGTTTATATATCTTTGTCTGGCTAAAACTTGCACAAAAATAATCTGCTTACAGGAAATCTTAAGCATAATATAGTCTTCAAGTATTAGTTCCTAGTACATTCTCTGCCATCAGCCTTAATCTTTAAATTGTGTATTAGATACACCATCTCAGCCTGTTAATTGTAAATCCAAAAGCTGCCTCATGAAACATTTTGACATCATTACATAATTTTGCAAGTTAAATGTTTCCTCATCAATTCTTTATTTCAAGTATCGAAAATATTTAACAATTTAACAAATGAAAACACGTAATTAGCATAAAAACTAAGTTAGATCAATCAAAAAGAGTAACCATAGTCAGAATACTGAAAAACAATTACTAGAAATCAACTGTCAATTTAATCAAAATCAGCAAGGTGACAAAAAACACTCTAAATTTGATAAAAATTTTAACCCCAAAAAAAAAACGGCAATGGTTGCTTGTGGCCTTGGATATCTTGTCTTTTCAAGTCTTATTATCATCAATTTAACTTCTATGACTTTTTTAGGCTTCAATATAGCTGACCTATAGGGCAACATGTGCATGAGTCAGTATTTGCTTATAGTAATAGTAGACTATGGAATTGGAAGTCCAAAGTTTGTAATTCTATCTGAAATCTTCAATCAATGCCAAACATGTCAGATAAATAGAAATACTAACAAAATATATAATATCTAATCTCATAAAGAGAGTGAACTCGGAATTAAAAATGCTAAGTCATCACAGTACTAATATTGAAGGACTTGAAAGTTTGATTTATACACTTGACCACAGTGACTTTATAAAAGAAGATTAAAGTTGTTGTCATCACATGCAGTATGTTGGAATAAACTTTCTCACCTTTCCTCAATATAAACTTTCTAACCTTTCTAAGTACATATGTATTTCAATTGAAAGATATTTAAAGACATGTTCATTCACCTTTTTGAAACATTATTTCATAACTAATTGTACATCAATTATCAAAAGCAACTATTTTTTTTAATTTCAGGACAGAAATTAAAATGCAAAATATAAAATCATATTTACTATTTTAAAACAATTCTTTAAAAACTTTTGACAAAGCAAATAACTTGTAGGGATAGTCCTGATCTTAAATCCAAGGAGGGATCTGAATCCCAATGTGCAATTACACTTTGTTTAGCGCAAATTGTAAACGTTCATAAAGCAAGAGAAGCTCACCCTTTAAGATTGCAATAAACAATTAATTTCCCCATAGGAGACAATAATAGCCTTTTCCAAGATACAGACTTTATGAAGTTGAATTTTTTTAACGAAACCTTGTTAGAATTAAAGAAAAATTATTCCGACAGTATTTTTAGGTACAATACAGGTTCCCGTTTCTTTTCTTAACGTAATTGTACTTATCTCCCTTGCCTATCAATTTTGCACTTAAAAACATGTGTCTCATCCTAGCATTGAAAACACATCTCATTTCTGTTAGGGCTAAGGAAAATATATTATTTTGCCTTTGGTATAATGCAGATTGCACGAAGTCTCTAATAATAAAAAGAAAAGGGTGCACATATCGACCAATCAGGATTAGCCATACTATTAATTCTGAATACCATGTTATCTGTGCCCATAATATTTAATGGTTGATTGTAACCTTAATGATGATTATTTGGTGAAACTCTTAAACAATTTGGAGCATGTCAGCCTCATTACAACAAATACATTTAGGGTTTAACCTTGCCCTTGATTGAATCTGTATTGAAATCTGTCTCACGTTTTTTTGTCAAGTTTAACATTAAGTGATCTTATAATAGAATACTATACAAACATATCCACCAAAGACATCAGATTAAGTTTCATTTTATAAATTAAGACCACTAATTAGTTCTAGATTGAAAAAAACCAGCATTGTACAAATATATAGAGCTTATATTGTAAACATTGGAAAAAGCAAATTTCAAGACATGTAATTTGTTTATTTTTTGCTTTGACTGCAAATATATGCTTACTAATAACATTTCAATTGAATAAATGTGAACTTCAAATCTGTGCCATTCTAGGTTTAGACTAATTTCAATTGATTAGTGATCACTTAAAGTTTAAGAACTGTGTTCTAATGTCAAATTTACACTTCAACAATGAGATAAGATTTATACAAGTTTATAAGAGTTTGATATATTCTAACTTTTATCTTTGATAGCTTAGTATACATCATATAAAATTTTATCATCAGTTTAAAGAATTTAGAGAAATAAATTTCCCCCTGATTAAAATTCTAGTATAGATAAATTCAATTTTGATAGAAGTGTCCTTCACACAAGTTTTATGGGTGCTCCACAAAAAGGGTTATATTATAGTAGAGGATCGTGTAGAATCTTGAAATTCATTGTTGTTCTTAGGCATTGACAGGTTTATATAAGTAAAAGTCATGTTTACATAAGACACATGACACATGTCAAGTGTAGTTTTTATTTTAATTTTGAAAACCCATGATATTTCTCAATTCTTTTCCTACTTAAATTAAGTCCATTTTTAATCTGATTAATTTACTTGAAAATGCATCTATTTAGCATTGACACATTTGAGACAGAAACTTGGCCTTCACAAGTCTGGCTCAGCAATTTCATGTTCTCTATATGGGCTGCACTCTGACATCCCAGCAGGTACTTGAAAGGTCCTCAGACATAGAGTAATGAAATTGTTTTCACTTTTTTCCAGAATTTACATTCAGTAGTGGATGGTTTGTCTGTTAGAACAGGTTGGGAAAACCAACAAAATTGGGAACTTATAATTCCCTAAATGAGTGACTTATAATCCCTCAATTGAGTAACAACTCCAAATAGCACTAAAATGAAATTTTCTTAGCTAAGTACTTTTACTTAAAATAGCACAAATTTATAGAAAATGGAACTCAAGAACCATATATTTCTATTTTGGATTTAAAAAATAAGTATAGCACTGAAAATGTCAATTTTTCGAGGTTTATTAGGCCAGTGAAGATTTCTGTTCAATCAGTTAGGGCTATTCATCTTATATAATAGTTGATGCATTTTTCATAAAAATGTGCCATTTCAAGTATAAAATGTGGATGAAAAAAAGTTTTTTAACACTAAAAAAGAATCCCTCATCAGGGATAGTATTCCATAGGGAACTATATTTTGCAGGTTGTTCCCAACCATTTAAAAGAGTTCAGATCCTTACATTATTATTATTTTCTGCTTTTTATAGTATCATTTCCATACAATTATTTATAATTTTGTGTATTGGGATAATTTTCCATTCAAAATTAAAATGATCAATTATGACTTGATCTTCTTACAAAATCATACCACAAAGAATTTCCTCTCAATATCAAAGGATAAACTATGGACCATTTAACAATAATAGGCCTCACATAGTATAATTTGTCCATTTGAATTCCTGGGAAATATTTGCTAAAAATCATAATATTCTGTATCAGAAAATACAAACAAAAATTGAATTATGGAATGTTTTATATGCCTGAATGCACCATTTCACTTAAGACAGAGCCTTCTTTTAAATTCAAACAATTTAAAACCAACTATTGATGAAGAAAATACTATAATATTTCACTTTTAGATCTCCACTTTTAACTCAAAACTCAGGATAAAATCTATAATAACAAAATGTCAAGCTTCTATTTTGAACAATTAAAAATTTTAATAAAATGAAGTCTGTTTTGGGGTGATTTCTAATAAACAGCACAGGTTTAATTACATGTCTTATCAGACAATTGTATTGCTTAAACAGTACTGCAAGAAAAACTGTTTTTGGATGATTTCTAATAAACAACACAGGTTTAATTACATGTCTTATCAGACAATTGTATTGCTTAAACAGTACTGCAAGAAAAAATGAGATCTGAAAAACTTACGAGGTCTCATTGGAGGAAGATTTGGTAACGGTGTATATGATCTCTGAGGCAATTCTAATGGAGCTTCATCAAATATTGGCAACCCCTCACTCCTGGCTCTAGCTAAAATAGTATGTGATCCCTTCTTTATCCTTAAGGAGCCAGTTCTCCTTAAATCCTCCATCTTTGTATTCCTATGCCACATCTTTTTGGCTAATTTTTGTATATCCATTTTCAAATTTTCAGCTGACTTTCAGAATGATCAAACTACATAATACACTTCTCACTAAAAATTGGAATTTCACTGGTAACAATTAGACACAAACAGAAAGAAACACGCTACAACTTTATAAAAATTAGAAGACACAAAACAATTCCAACGAAAATCCATTTTTCCTAATGTCTAAACAACACAAAAGGATTCACAGTTTAACCCATGGTTTCATTCAGATTGAAATCAAAACATCCTGTTGATAAAAAGTCTCTTCAGGATTTTCTCATTAAAATATTTGACAATAATTGTCGTATAACCCAAATTGACAACTGTGGCTTATTTACTTTTAAATCGTCCCTTTCACAAATCACTTCGCTTGGTATACATCCTCAATACGGAATATATAAAAATCCAATTGAAAATGCTAATCATATCCATACAATCCATTCCTTTGACCGTCAATAAACATTTACCTATATACCATAGGTAAAAGATATTGAAACCTCTCAACACGCACAGGTCCTAGTCAAAACTATTCCATATCTTTTGACAGTAAACCCATTTCTCCCTAATTCCAAAGGTATGTCTTGAGAAATATGTACATAAATGATTTTCAACAGGTAAGGCTAAACAAAACAGTTTTACCTATCAATATTTAAATATTACCTGTGCCCATAATTTGTAAATTACTTTGAGGATTAAAACCTCTTGATACCCTACCTAGTATTACTATAACTAATGAATACTTTTCACTGTACCACTTAACTAATCAAAATGTTAATTAAATCAATTCATTGAATCTTTACCTCAAGGCACTATTTAAAATGTTTCCCTCTCAATATTCAATAATCATCTTTTATTTGAAAAACAATTCAATTTCTTATAAATGTTTATAATGGATATTAGTTTCAAGTTCAATTAGGGCAATATAAATATTTAAGAGTTCAAATCAGAAAATAAAATCAACACTTTAAGGACTATTCAACTGACAAAATTCAAGAAAGTTGATGCAAAATCATGCTCTAATTGTCGGAAATGAATTTAAATTTATGAATAAATTAATTTCATTTAAAATCATACATAAATAACATCACTGGAATAATTTAAGCTACCAATATTTAGCCATTTAATAATGAAATGAACAATCTTTAAATTTACATTCACAAAAAAATCTATATATGAAGGCTTAATTACAAGGAAAGCAATTAATTTGTTCTATAAATGTCAATTTTCTTTTATGTACCTCATCATGTTTCCTATAAAATATGTCAATAGATTAATATTGTTCCATGAAGAGATATATTATATATGTAGCCAACAGTCAGTTACAACTGTGGAAATTCATCAATTCAATTTTAAGTCTAGTCTGTCAACACTACAGTTAGGTTGTGAGTTCAAACCCCTGGTGACTTTGGCAGGGTGCATTTGACCCCAATCTTAACTGACTTTTTTTTCTACAAAAGGTTGTTGGTTTTCTCCAGCTTCCTTTAGCCACTGCAATTTGACAATGTGGGCTGAAAATGGTGTTAAACACCAGGTTAGATGTATTGAAGCAAAAATAAAAAAATATGGTATGGTATGGGTTATGATCAATAAAGGTACTTCCCTGGGCCTATTTCACCATGCTCCATTACTCTTTAATTCTTGTATCAAGGCTTTGAGCGCAGATCTTATCAGCCATGTCACAATGTGAGAGCAGAACAAAAACAGCTATGTCACAATGAGAAAGTATATCTTATTAGCCATGTCACAATGTGAGAGCAGAAGGTATCAGCCATGTCACAAAGTGAGAGCAGAATGTATCAGCCATGTCACAAAGTGAGAGCAGAATGTATCAGCTATGTCACAAAGTGAGAGCAGAATGTATAAGCCATGTCACAATTTGAGAGCAGAATGTATAAGCCATGTCACAATTTGAGAGCAGAACATAACAGCCATGTCACAATGTAAGAGTAGAACATATCAGCCATGTCAAAATGTGAGAGAAGAACATATCAACCATGTCACAATATGAGAGCAGAACATAACAGCCATGTCACAATGTGAGAGCAGAATGTATCAGTCATGTCACAATGTGAGAGCAGAACATATCAGCCATGTCACAATGTGGAAACAGAACTTATCAGCCATGTCACAATGTGAGAGCAGACCATAACAGCCATGTCACAATGTGAGAGCAGAATGTATCAGTCATGTCACAATGTGAGAGCAGAATATATCAGCCATGACACAATGTGAGAGCAGAACATAACAGCCATGTAACAATGTGAGAGCAGAATGTATCAGTCATGTCACAATGTGAGAGCAGAATGTATCAGCCATGTCATAATGTGGGAGCAGAACATATCTGGTGAGCAATGTCACAATGTGAGAGCATATCTTATCAGCAATGTCATAATGTGAGAGTCTATCTTATCAGCCATGTCATAATGTGAGAGCAGACCATAACAGCCATGTCACAATGTGAGAGCAGAATGTATCAGTCATGTCACAATGTGAGAGCAGAATGTATCAGCCATGTCATAATGTGGGAGCAGAACATAACAGCCATGTCATAATGTGAGAGCAGAACATATCTGGTGAGCAATGTCACAATGTGAGAGCATATCTTATCAGACATGTCATAATGTGAGAACAGACCATAACAGCCATGTCACAATGTGAGAGCTGAACATAAAAGCCATGTCACAATGTGAGAGTATATCTTATCAGCCATGCCACAATGTGAGAGCAGAAGGTAACAGCCATGTCACAATGTGAGAGCAGAACGTAACAGCCATGTCACAATGTGAGAGCAGAACGTAACAGCCATGTCACAATATGAGAGCAGAACATAACAGCCATGTCACAATGTGAGAGCAGAATGTAACAGCCATGTCACAAAGTGAAAGCAGAATCTGAACGTAACAGCCATGTCACAATGTGAGAGCAGAATCTGAATTTAACAGCCATGTCACAATGTGATAGCAAAATGTATCAGCAATGTCACAATGTGAGAGCAGAACGTATCAAACTTACTTCCAGTAGAAAAACCAAGAGTAAAAAGTTGTCTAAGGAAAGCCTAAAAATGACTTGAATTAGTAAAATAAGAAATGATTGTCAGACTTCTGTGTATTCAGCTTCTTGTCAAATTGTGAAGCCTTTTGTCTCATTTGCTGAAGTGACTTTTCCACTGAATGATGAAGGCAATAACTATATTCATGCAAGATAAGTGCATGGATTACAACACTGATATTTCAGGACTAAGGCTCCAACTTGTGCTGGCCTAAATAAGATATAACCTTGACTGCATTTGTACTGTGCTCTGACAATATTAAATTACACAAATATATTAATATTTTGAACTAAGAATTCCAATCAAGTTTTGTTAATATATCTCTTGTGGATAAAAAATCAATCCAGTAACTATTTTTTCAGATCTGTACTTCATTAATTTTCCTAAGCCTAGTTATTATAAATTTCAGATCAGCATGGAAAGGATTGAAAATAATGATATGCCAAGCCCATAAACAGCAACCAGATAAATCGTAAAAAACACTGGTCTAATTACAAATTAATGCATTCTGTAGCAGAGAAAGTGAAAACCATCCTTAATAATAACAAAGCAATATATGTCACCTTGATGTGTTGACTGCAAATAATAGCATCACCATACATTCACATCAATCATTAAATATTTATTATAATTATCTGTATATATGCACCTTTGAGACATGAATGTGCACAATCAATTTATATGCATTAAAACATGTGTTATTTTGATGTTAGAAAGCAGCTATAAAAATTCATTATTTGAAAGCTTTACCACATCTATTCTAATTTAAAACTATTTCCTAATAAACTACCTCCTGACATTTGGGTTAATAAAATGAACAAATTTGTCAAACAAATGCAAAAATAAGGTTAGCTTGGAAAAAGAGTATTCTAATGACTCCATTCTTTTTAGTTAAGTTACTGAAACACTTTCCTTAAAAATATAACAGCGTTCCAATGTCTCGTGCAGATGCACATATTTTATCTGTTCAAGGGCAATATTATAAGCTCCAATATATTTTGTTATGGTTCTTTTAACTTTTTCATAAATGTTGCTTACAAAGTAATTTTCCATAAAGTTTTTATTTCCATGTCAAAAAAAGTCGATCCTCGTTGCATTATAATCAAAATTGTCCATGTCCTTGCTGATTTAAATTCTTCACAGATCCAACAAAAATCGTTAATATGAAAGAGCTTAAAGCAATTCTCAAATACAAAATTATATTTCAAAGGTTCAAATGTTCTTAACTTATGTCAAAATATTTCATTGGCACTGATTTTTGAACTTGTTTGAGGCATTGCTCATATAAACCATTTATATAAATTTCGTAAAATCTTGGCTAGAATTGTACACTTGAGAGTGCTAACAAGAAGGACGGACAGATGCCAAATATTTATATGTCCCTCTTTATGACCCAGTGCCACTATTATGTAATTTTCCTGTGTAAAAATCACTGAATCAACATTAATAGATTCCCCTCTTCAGCCTTCTTAAGCTCCTCATATGTTTCATATTCAAAATCATTGTTGAAGACAATGCAAAAAGCTTCAATCTATGTACCTAGTATATAATATCATTTTAATTACCCAATATCTTTTCATTTTTATGATAAAAAGATTCATAAATTTTACTATTGTAAATTTACAGTGGATATAGGTGGCAAAAACATATGTTTCCATCTAATCACTTATTGGAAATAACTAATATCCATGTTGTTCACTGGTACTGTAACAATTATGTCTGATAAGTAGAGAGGCCACAGTTTCTATGTAAACAAACAGTTTATTAACTTCCTTTTAAATGTTATTTATTTAATTATTTATTATGGAAACTGTCAACAGCTGGTTATACAAAGTTAAAGATAAAGCAATAAATAAGATTCATCTAAAATTACGATCTTTGAAGTCTGGCCTTGCCGTCATAAAACTTTCAAGTAGGATTTTGTAATCAGACTCAGAATTCAAACCTATCAAAATATTGGATTTGGTGTTATGAGCACAAATTTTGTACTCCCCAAATACTCAGAGTAAAGCTTTATGACCTGGGAAGAACCCTGGTGTATAACCCACCTATCTACCTGTTCAATGATTAAAGCTCTTAATATCATTACCATACAAGTGAAAATCAGTTAAAGTGTATCAAAGGCCCAAGGCATCAATAAATAGATATTATCAAAACAGAAAAATGTGGACAATGTATTCCTAATGGACATTATGGATTTCACCCTTTAAATATCACTACAGATTATAAAAGGAATCGATAACATAATAATAATAAAATGTGACTTTAATGTCCAGTTCTGGCTATTTCTAGTTAACAGTGGACATAAATGAATGTCATGTATTTACATTTTTGCCTAGGTCATTTTGTACTTGTTGGCACAAGGTTCTGAATTTATTTCCAAATTCCTCTGATTTGTCATTTTCTCAACAAATAATATATTTGGACAATATTAGGCTTTGATAAAATGAGCCCTTAAAAATGGTCTATTTGATTGATGGATCTATATCCAGGGGTAAATATTACAGCATATCAAAATATAGATTAACAGTTTAAAAAAATAAATCAAA